GCTGCAGTTTAAACATTCGTCAGCGCCACAGTCACGAAGATTCAGATTGAAATGGAGCGCTGACCTTGATCTGGTGAGACAATAAAGGCGGCTGTTTATTGACTCGACTGTTTGTCCAAAAATGAGATCAGTGAAGGTGCGTCTGATTTGAATACCCTTTCACATCCCCTACAATTCCATGGGCATTTTATGGGATCAGTTTGCGAAGCAAGTTGTGCTGTTTAAACATATTTTACCCAAACACTTAAACAGTTTTTTTTAGCTTATTCAAAGCAATTTAAATAAGTTTAAATATGGTAAAGCACCGTATTATTATTATTATTGTTATTATTATTACATGCTTATATTTTCTATTTATTTATAAATACTGTATGAATAATTAAAAAAAAACATAATTTTTGCGTCAAAGTAATGGCAATGAGTAAGTCTAGTGGAAGTCAAATAATGTCATTTATATTTACTTTATTCAAAGCATTTTAAATAAGCCTTAACATGGTAGAGCACCATATTATTGTAAATAAATAATGTAAACAATATATACTTTTTGGCATTAGAGTAATGGCAGTGAGTAAGTGGAGTGGTTATTTGGCATGAAAATTATTGTCACATTTTATATTATATTTACTATATTATATCATTATAATATTATATATTATATTTACTTTTTAAATTAAAATGATCTACACTGTAATATATAGTGATTATAATATGTAAAGCTACACAGTATGTTAAAGAGTCTTTTGGCTCTTGCATGTAATTTTGCCAGTATGCTGTAATTCTTGTGCAACATTAAATTTTATCTCATCTGATAGGTCAAGCACAGGAGGAGGAGCTTTTTTATATGTTGGCGTAGTATTTCCCTTTTTTCTCTTGATATTACAATCAACTCCTGGTTATGTGCCTTTTCAAGTAGGGGGTTATGGGAAGGACTGTATCTTTAAAGGAATAGTTCACCCAAAAATGAAAATTTGATGTTTATCTGCTTACCCCCAGGGCATCCAAATGTAAGTGGATGGGAATCACGGCTTTGAGAGTAAAAAAAACATACACAAACAAAACCAAATTAAACACTGCAGCTCGTGACGATACATTGATGTGTAAAAAGACACGAAACGATTGGTCTGTGCAAGAAACTGAACAGTATTTATATAGTTTTTTACCTCTGATTCACCGAAATGTCCGAACTGTCCTGAGCGCGTTCTCGACTGCCGGCGCGTGATGCGTCTTCTTCTTCTTCTTCTTGCTTTACGGCAGATCGCAGACTTATAAGTGCATTACCGCCACCTATCTCTCAAATGGTCCATTTGAGAAGAAGAAGAAGACGCGTCACGCGCCGGCAGTCGAGAACGCGCTCAGGACAGTTGGGACATTGCGGTGAATCAGATAGCAATCAATAAAGCACTTATTGATTGCTATTGATACCATACATCAGTTTTAACAAGAGTACCAAAATATAACTGTAAGCTCAACCTTTCTCTTTCCTCCACTAGAGGGTGTTGAACACTTCTTTGAGGTTTGAAGCACTGTATTAAGTTCCTGCTGCTAGAGATTTGATCAGGCCTGCAGAATCAGGAACTTGCAAATGAGGACAATAGAAGCAATCAAACCAACAAGAGCAATAATATGAAAGTGCTGTGACAACTCCCACAGTACACATAGCAAGGTGTTTTTTTTAATAATACATAAAAAGAAAACAAGTAGATAGAATAGAAAAAGAATAGAGAGCTAAAGGGTAAATTTTTAAATATAATTTTCTTATATTTAATTTTTTTCAGATATTAATAACAGATTTCTGTTTCAAATAAATGCTGTTCTTTTGAACTTTCTATTCATCAAAGAATTTAAAAAAATCATGGTTTCCACAAAAATATTAGGTCGCACGACTGTTTTCAACATTGATAATAATAACAAATGTTTATTGAGCATCAAATCAGCATATTAGAATGATTTCTGAAGGATCATGTGACACTGAAGTGACACAAAGACAGATCCCCAGTGAGGACCTTGTCTCCTAGACATTCCTGTGAAGACTGGAGTAATGAATGCTGAAAATTCAGCTTTGCTTCACAGGAATAAATTATTTTTAATTTATAAATTATTTTAATTATTTTAAAAAAATTATAAATTGTAATAATATTCCACAATATTACTGTTTTTACAGTATTTTTGAACAAATAAATGCAGCCTTGATGAGCATGAGAGACTTCTTTTAAAAAACATTAATTTTTTTGTTAATGTTAGTGTATACATGTAACATGTGAACCTGCCATACACTTCTCTGCCACACGAGACCGTCATATGAGGTGATGCCATCAGGCCGTGAAGCATGACATGCTAGGGGGGATTACGGAGGATTACATGGTGTCTGGCTCATGAGACACGGTCAATTTGGTCAGCATGTTAAAAGTGGCATCTCCACAGCACTCACCTGCAGGCGGCTGGACAGCTAAAGCCATTCAAAGACCTGAATCTCTTTAAAAACAGTGCTGAGTCTGACGGATAACCCCACGTGTCGATACGGATGTTGTTTAAGGATCACCGCTTTGATTTTACTGGATCTGAGTCTGAGAGCGTGAATGAAGATTGGGCGAGTTATAAATGGAAGATGATAAATGAAAGCTGAAATTAACCTCGTTTTATATCTGAGGTTTTTATATCCATATTGGTGGCTTAAAACAAACTTTAAAATCCAATAATGTAACTTTGAGGTCAGTGTTTATAGCATTGCCTATTGACTTTTCATTTCAGGGATTATGTTAGACACCCTGCAAAAAATAAAGGCCAAAAAGGCACGCAAGTTAGGGGTCATAAATCCCTGTGTTCTATATTTGTTGAGAAAAGGAGATTTTTTTTTTTTTTACGGTGGCCACCATCTGTTGGATGTGGTTTGAGAGTGGAGGCTCTTAGGACAGCAGCTGGACAACCCAGTGACTCCCGAGCTCTAACTCTAAACGTGCAATCTCTGCATGCAACTCTAATGGCCTTTAACATTTAATCCAAGAATAGTTCTAAATGGTTTGCTGTTAATGCTGACTGGCAACAGAACGAGTCTGAAGTCTGGAATGGATTATGAAGTATTATGGCAATGTTGTTGCATGGATGAAACTGATCCGTTTACAATACCACACCTTTTTCTCTGTGTGTGCACAACAGCTAAATTCCATGTGTGCGAATTATACACTGTAAAAATCTAAAAATGAGTTATATCCACTGGAAATTTTTTAGATCATGAAATGTGTTAAAAGGTAGAAAGAAGAGTAGAGAACGGAAGTTTGGTCTTGGAAGTTTTCATGTTTTAATAAATGATTTACAAAGACAAGCATTTTTGTCTTTGGAATAATGTGTACCAATGAATCATTCACAATTTAGATTTTCTTTTTTTTATCTAAATAAGATATTTGTAATATCTAATCAAAATGTTAATGTGTTGTCCTTTGGCAATTTTGCCTACCCTTACGAAAAAGAAGTTTATTCAAGTGTACTATTAGTATACTTCTTTTAAACTAAAAATTTTACAGGTGTGGAACGACATGAGAGTGAGTAATTAATGAACTATCCGTTTAACAGGCCAAACCACACTGACCAGTGGATCTGCATCTTCAATCGCAGCGAAATCGTTTCCTCGCTCCTGCATCTTCCACCCTATGACCCGCAACTTATATTATCCTAGCTTGAACGGTTGATTAAAATAATAATTAAAAAAACCGCTTAACTTTACTCAGTAACGAATACCAACTCAAACGCACGCAGCCTGTAACATAAGTAATTCTGCTCTATTCTGCTAAACTGAACAATAATCTCCCAAAAATTATGTTACACAAGCATTCACACACTTCATCCACGTTGAATATGCTTCTTCGCGCGCAGCCCAACGGACAGCTTGCTCAAGTTCATGAGTTGTTCCTCCGCGATTTAGTTAGTTCGCTGTATAGCCTGCCCGTGTCTCCTTGTTTGATGTTGCACTGTCTGCGATGTCTCATGTTTCAAACATGAGTCTAATGTCTAGATTTGCTAAATATTTTTTTTTTCTTGGAAAGGACTCTGATATTGAATTTCAGTAACATTAAACTGACTTAAAAAAATCAAGTTGAATCTAGTATAACTTGTAAAAAACAGTTGAAATTGCTTAAATTATTTGTATGAGTTAAAGTAACTTAAAAACAAGTTGTCATGGCTTTTTCATCATATCATTTTTTACAGTGTACAAGTATACTACTAGTACACTGATCTTTGTATACTTACTACATAAAGTATACTTAACAATATACTTGAACTTTACTTAAGTATACTTAATAAAATAAACTTGAAGTATACTTCTTTTTGGTAAGGGTATGGATCAATTCTGTGTTATGAACGTTGCCAGAAAAATCATTTTGAAGTCAAATCTCTCAGTTGTAATTTTAACGAGAGCAGCAAAACATTTGTGGTAACTGAAACATTGTTTGAAAATGTTGTTGGAACTCACAGTAGGTATGTTTACCTGCACACATTTTTGGCGATCCGAATAAACCCAATCTGAATTCAGATTCTGAAAGTTATGTTTAAATGAACCCTAAACTTTGCAGTCCGATTCACATTTTCGTTTATATGACCAGTTCGTAAGACATAAACAAACATGAATGTTCGTAGAACTAAAACATACTATATGTAAACAGATATCTTAATATAAAAGGTCTAAGGTAAACCTATGCATCACGACACTGTGCATGTGCACAAACTATTTTTTACATCCAATAAAAATAGTCGTATTCAAGCGTTTACATGCTTAGATTTATCCTATTGATCAGAACAAGTTAAAACAAATCAACATGAAGACTTTTCAATTTGATTGAGCCACAATCCGATTGCTAATGGATTATTCCGGTGCATGTAAACGTAGTTAATGTTTACTACTTTAACTATTGTTTTGACTTCTTTTTGAGGTGCTTTAAGCCTTAATTATGTGGGTCAGCCACCCTTAAACTCCACCATCTCCTGTGTTTGTGTTTTCTTCCATCCAGGCAGTAGGCGACTGAGATGGGCCTTCATCTAGGCTGTCTCAGCGACACACTGTGGCTGCCGTTGCTGCTGCTGCTGTCTGTCTGCTCCGCCCCCCGCTGCCAGTGCCGACCGTTCGGGATGGTTGAGCCCACCGTGAACGTGGCAGTGGTGTTCAGCGGCTCCGCCTACCAGATGGAGATCAAGGGGCGACTGAGCCGGGAGAACTTCCTGGACCTGCCGCTGGAGGTGAACCCCATCACTGTGCTGGTGAACAACACCAACCCGCGCACTCTACTGATGCGCATCTGCGACACGCTGGCTGCTAACAGGGTGCACGGGGTGGTCTTTGAAGATAACATTGGGTCTGAGGCCGTGGCGCAGATCCTAGACTTCATCTCCACGCAGACGGCCGTGCCCATAGTGGGCATCAGCGGGGGATCTGCCGTCGTCCTGCCTCACAAGGTCAGAGTCAAACGCTGTGCCATTTTCAAAAGTCGCTTGACCTGGATAGTTAAACTCTGATTTCTGAGTGTTCATGCTGAGATGAGATTCCCTCAGAGTTCTTTCACGGTTTGCATCAAAGTTTCATCAAAGGGATAATGTACACTCAGCAGCACAAATAAACCCTGACAGGGTCATCCAGACCCTGATGTGAAGTGGAGAGGTCCTGAATCACCCTGATGGGGTTTATTTTTGGTTGACTGCACATTATCTGGCTAATTATGCAGATGCTTACCAAATAAATCAATAAATGGACATGAAATATCGATTTGATATGAAATAATGTTATTATTTGGAAATAAATAGAGTGCAACGTGCTATGAGAAACATGAAACTAAGAAAAGCTATAGGAAACTAGTGACAACGGTCTGATTTACAGTTGTAATTGATCTGATGCACAACTGTATTTGAACCCGGAATGTAGACCTCCAGACCCCAACTGTTCAACCAAGAATCAAGTATTTACAATAGTATTCATTGTGTCATACACTGTAAAAAAAACACATCTGTAAAATAACAGAAAAGGTACTGGCAGCTCATTGCACAGGACTTTATCCATTCATTTTACAGACATTTCCGTTAACTCTAAAACACTGCTCGATGAAGTGAAAAATTCAAAATACTGGTCAAACACCTGTAAATAAATTCTGTAAATAAATACAATGAAATCCTTAAAATTAAAGGGTCATGAATTGAGAAATCAAATTTTCCTTGATGTTTTGACATGTAATAGGTCATTGTACTATAAAAACATCCTGTGAGTTTCAGAGTTAAAAACCTCCCCATTAGTCCAAAAACAGCTTTTATACTATAATACAGGATCACTAGACTAAAAATAACACCACCTTCCAAAGGATCCTAGATCCTATCCTAGGAAAGTGAATATTTATTTTTAACTATGTGGATGTCTAAGTAGAGCATTTGTTTGTTCAGTACATTTCACTGTGGATTCTTTGGTAAATCAGGCACAGTTTCGACGCATGCTTTGCAAACAGACTTTTGTATCTGTTTTTGTATCTTACTTTTTGCATTCCAATAGTTCAAAACAGTAGAGCATGGTGCTAGCAACAGCAATGTCATGGGTTTGATTCCCACGGAATGCATGAACTTATAAAATTAAAACCCTGAATAATGTACCTAGTTAAAAAAAAAGTTCATAAAATGCATAAACGTACCTTTAGGCCCAAAAGGAGCTGTTGTGGATTAATGGGTAGAGAGTCGGACTTGTAACCCAAAGGTTGCGGATTTGAGTCTCAATACCGGCAGGAAATGTAGGTGGGGGGAATGAATGAACAGGGCTCTCTTCCACCTTCAATACCCAAAACTGAGGTGAGACCCTTGACTGAGCAAGGCACCGAACCACCAACTGCTCTGGGTGTGTGTTCACTACTCGCTGCTGTGTGTGTGCACTTGGATGGGTTTTCACTTTCAAAAGTTGTGGTAAGTTTACATCATCAATAGGGCTGCACAATTAATCGAATGCGATTGTAATGCGCATTTTGATAGTAATGCCAGTTCTGTAATCAGCATGAAATCATCATCACATGCTTTCAAATGGAGCAGCATTTACTACACGTAGTTCACTGACAAGTTACGCAAAAAAAAATCGCAGACGATTTTATTGCACGATTCTGAAATTGAAGAAATCGTTCGTGATAATGACAGCTGTTTGCATAGCTTCTCAGTGAACTACGGCTCTGTGAAGTAAATGCTGCTCCATCTGAAAGCATGTGAAAATACCACATTTAATAACATATTTTTACTCTAAACTCACTTCATAACGTCAGTCGAGTGTTTGAAATAAATCCTTCTGTGAGATGATGTGGCTTCTTACACAGAATAAGGCACGCAACATATTTCATAGTATTTAAGCAGTGATAAAGGCATTGCATTATAAATATACTTTATTTTAATGAAAATTATAATAATAA